GAACTGAGGCTGTGCATAGATAGATGCCCCCAGATATGAGGAACATGGGCATTAATTAGCTTCTTTTAAAAAAATTTCTTTTTAGTTGTTGATGCATCTTTATTTTTTTATTTATATGTGGTGCTGAGTATCAAACTCAGTGCCTCACACATGCAGAGCAAACACTCTGCCACTGAGCCATAACCCTAGCCCATTAATTAGTTTCTTAAAGAGAGTTTCTCCTGGGTTTAGAGATAATTAAAAACTTGCATAGAGTTCCTGAGTCCCATTGAAACTGAACCAAGATTTTTCTTACCTACCCACCTTTCTTCAGATATACTGTTGCCATCCTGGTCTCTACCTGTGGAACATTTTACCTGAGATATTGCTAGGGAAAGGGGGCTAGCGTGTGTTCTAAACCTTACGGAAATTACTGCTATGGTAATCTTTGATGTCCTGTTACTTACTTAGACTCTTTTTTAAAAAAATATTTTTTAGTTGTCAATGGGCTGTTATTTTATTCATTTATGTATGGTGCTGAGGATCAAAGCCAGTGCCTCACATGTGCCAGGCAAACACTCTACCAGTGAGCCACAACCCCAGCCCTACTTAGACTCTTACTGGTACTATTTTAAGTGAGGATGGAGTTGAACATGGGGGCTGGGTATCACTGACTTAGTAGGCAGACCTCATTGGATCTCACACCAGGTTATGTTCCCCCAAATGTCTATCGGTTATTAAGCTGACAATTTACTCCCCCACCTGCCTTCTAATCATGTTCTCTTTTATCAGTTCTAGACTCCAGTGGGCATAAAGGGACTGTTACTTATTGAATAACTTTCCTAAACTGCAACCCACCTCACTTTTGTTGTGTAGGACATTGTTAAGGAGGTCAGAGCAACCATAAAAATACCAAAGTAGAGCTGCAGTGTGTGAGTATCGAGTGGAGAAGAGAGGGAACATGAATTCATGAAGATGGCCTGCAAACAGCAAAGCCCCTACCAAACTATTCACAGCTACCTGAGTCCAAGGCAGAAAGTGAGGTAGGCTGGGAGCTCCTGGGACATATAAGCAGGGACAATGCTACCTTATCCTGAGAAGGCATAGTAGGCACGTGCCCTCACCAGTCCCAAACAGATGAGAAGTGGCACATCTCATGAGGACAAGCAGCCAGCACTCACTGCAGAGCCTCTCCTCACTTCTCTAGGCAGAAAGTTCCACAGTGGATCAGGTAGGTACTGAAGACAATAGAGCAAATTGATTGTGATTGCTATCCATACTTCTCAGCCTCAGGAGTTGCTCCAAGAAAGCATCTTTACAACCTTTAACCAATTTGTCACTTTCTTCTTTCCAGTCCCACTGTCTCAGGCCCACAATCCCTCAGCCCACATACCACATACAGAAGTTCCCCAGTTTTCACATCCTCACCCTGGATTACGTCAGTAGTCTCTAGGGTAACCTGCTCTACACCTTCAATCAGGACTTGTGGAAATACCCAAATTTCCTCTGTCTTTTTGACTTACCCCCCACTCCCTCAACACACACATCTGCTGAGGTGGTTTCCTTGTTCCTCCATGTAAACCTGTGTTCCATCCAAGACTGCTCCCTCACCAGCCCATAGAAGCCACTATGGAGGACTTTTCTAACAACCCAGATCCATTCTGGGCCTGGTCGTTTTTCCGTAATCTCCCAACATACTTGGACTTGCCCACTGCACTGTCCCCTAGGCAGATGATCTTCACGTTGTCATCAGCATCGTATTTCTCTTGGTCCAGCTCACATGGTTTGGCTCTATCCCCTGCCATTGGCTCTCAGTTGTAGAGGCCCAGCTAGATGATCTTGTCAGTGTCTGGGAAGGTCAAAAAGAGGTTGCTATTAGAGATAAGAACTACCCTCAACCAAATCTGTTTCTTCCTCCTGGATGGGAGAAAGGAGCCCAAGGACACACATCTTTCTCCCTTTACCACTGATGTAACTGCCACATGCTAGGCCTCAGGGTTGTAACCTTGTCTCATAAGATTCTATGTTATCTTCCTAGTGCAATTACGCTCAGGCCACACTTCCCACCTGCCATGCTGAAACTTTACAAGTTCAACATATGGGTTTTCTTACTTATCAAACAGTGACAAAAAATAGTACCCATGCCACATGATACGTACAAGACACTGTACGGCAAAAACAATCTGAGTTCTCATCACCAAATAACATATACTACATAGCCAAAGATGCCTAACCCACATTCCTGACTATCTGCCCTCTCACCTCTCACCTCCCCCTAATCTTCCATCCTGTTGCATTCAGCAGCTGCCTCTCTCTCCTCAACATGGATATTCCCCAAACCCTCTTCTACAGGAGATATTTTTTAAACCTCTAGTAATTTCAAGCATCTCCTAAATAGTAACTACATGGAGAATGCTTCCCTTAGTGCCAGATTCAGACATGTAATTGACCATCAGACCTGTAAATAGGAAATGAAAGGCCTGCAGGCAAGTTACATGTTAACACAAGTACTATAATCCTGCCCATCACAACTGTTGCTCTTCACATTCCCATATATGCAAGACACCACCACCATCCAGTGCCAACGCCTATATATAACATCATCTCTAGGGCTGGGGATGTGGCTCAAGCGGTAGCGTGCTCGCCTGGCGTGCTTGCGGCCCGGGTTCGATCCTCAGCACCACATACAAACAAAGATGTTGTGTCCGCCGAGAACTAAAAAATAAAAATTAAAAAAAAAAAAAAATAACATCATCTCTAGCCTGTTCTACTCCCCTCACACCTAAATATGGCACTGCAAACATTCCTAAGATCCTGAACTAGCTAGGCACACAGAAATGATACTCTGATGATGACCTAACAGCACTAATTCGCACTTACTTACTGGGCAGACCTCGCACTGAGTTCAAAGGTGTGCACAGGAGTTGACTGTAATGCCTTTGCATAAGAAGGAACTGAGCCTTGCTCACTGCAGTACTCTCAGCCGTTAGTGCAGTGCCTGGGAAGTGGCAGATGCTTGGTGAGCATGGTAAGGGTTCTCTCCTTCCACTTCCACTCTGCGGCGCAGCGACCTATACGAAAGCCAAACCTAACCTATGACTGTGAGCTCGAAGACCTTCAATGGCTGACGCTGTCCTCGAGATGTAGGGCACAAGCTCTCTTGCATTCGACAAACACTTCTGAGAGAACCCTTCCCAGGCCCTCCCTCCGCCCAGGGCCCTCGAACCGCCTCCGAGGGGCGGGTCCCACAGGCCTAGGCACCCCTGGGAGGCCTCGTCCTCACGTGCGATCCAGGGAAACGGCTGGAGACACCAGGGACGCCACCGCCCTGCGGACCCGTAGCCACGCCGGGCCCACCCGCCAGCCCAGCTCACGCAGCACCGCCCTCTGCTTCCGCTGTGCAGCGTCCCTGCAGCTGCTACGCAACCGCGCCAAGGACCCCGAAAAGGGCTGCCCGGCAGAGCGCCCGAAGGACCCCGCCGGGGCGCGGGGTGGCTGGCGCAGGGCCTAGCGGCGGCCGGCCAGAGGGTGGCGTTGGGCTCCTGAGCGCCCAGGTTCAGGGGCTGTGTGTCGGGGTTGGAGTCGGGGTTGGGGTCGGGGTCGGGGGCCTTGGGCCGGGCTGGTATAGGTTCCGGGGCGTGGAGGGAGGGCCATCAGCTTTTGCACGCTTATGAGCAGGAGGTTGCTGCAGGTTGTAGTTCTTTGATGGGTAAATTTGAGCAAATGTCTCAACTTTTGTCACCGACTCAGCGGGTCCTTTAGCTCATGCTAAAGGAATGAAATCAAACAGGACTAATAAAGAGAGGGTTAGAAAGAATTTTTATATTGATTAATATAGCAATGTGATTACTCATAAGCAGAAAAGCCAGGAGAGGTGGCTCTGCCCCATTGGCAGAAGGGCAAGGAAGGCAAAGGATAAACACAGAGCTGTGGATCAGAAATTTGCATATTTATAGGTTACATAGCAATATTCATTATTAAGTTGCAATTTCTTAGTCCACCTGCACCGTTTTGCACATGATCATAAATGTGTCTCAAATCGTTAAGTCTTGCCCCAGGTGTTTATTTTACTGTGGAAGTGAATTCCAATGAGAGTCCTGGTTACCTGGTTACTTTAGGTTGTGGTCAGATCTGGTTACATCAATTGATTTTTTTTTTTTTAAAATTTTGAACAATGAATGCAGTTGGCTAGGGCTTTTGACCATCCATCTTGAGCATAGAGCATTTAGTGCCTTTTGTCACCAGTTTAACTCTATACTCCTGCCTCATTTTGACATTTGTAACTAAGCATGAGCCTAGATGGCCCAAAAGCCTAAATTGCTGTGAGTGAGCAGGAATTAGGACAGGGGCCTGTCACTGATTCACCTGGCAGGTTCCAGGTCCCATGAGATCAGCTCTTATGCCAAACACTTCCTAGGGACTGTGTGCTACTGTGCCAGAGAGAGAGAGAGAGAGAGCGCGCGAGAGCTGTGATATTGCAAAGGAGGCTCTGAGAAGGCTGGAAGATCAGGGAGAAGGTGCATTAAATCTATAGGAAACCGGGTAGTCATAAGCCAGGCAAACACAAGTTCTTTTATTTCAACTTAATTTCTAATATCTATGACTCTCAATCACATATCACACGTTACACAATTTTTGCAAAGGCAAAAAGCAGATATAAATGCAGAATTACTGTAGGTGGTCAAATAGAACTTGTCCAGGGTGCAGAGCCAGGTTCAGTGAAAGGCCAAGGCTCGTCGTCGGAGATCAAAACGCACACACAGATAGCAGTGACAAAGATGAAGCACTTTACTGCAAGCTGGTTCTAGCTTATATAGAAAGTGAGAGTCAGTTATCTTAAACCAGGAAGCTCCCGGGGCCAATCATAGTAAAGGTCAGATCATCACCTATGGTGCACGCATGTCCACCCTGCATAAGATTCATGGGGGGCACCAGCTGTCCACGATCACGGAAGACGGGAGGACCAATTAGAAAATTTTCAAAACAACTTGTTATCTGCCCACTGGCAACTTGCCTGCCGCCATGTTGCATTAGGGGCTCCTTATCTGAAAGGCCCGGGGAGTTCTAGCCGCCCACTGGAAATTTGCCCACCGCCATGTTTGAAAGGCCCAGGGAGTTCTCATGGAGACTCCCAACATTCAGAATAGACAGCAGTTTCAGAGTGTCAGCTTGAGATATCAGCTTGGAGTGGGCCATGTGCTATCATCATGGACAGGAGAAGTTGTACTCTGCTGAAGCCTGGGGATGGAGATTCAGAGGTTTATTGCTGTGGTGATTTTCCTGGGCAAGGCTCGTGATGAAAACTGATCAGGTGATGGGATCAGGGTGCCCACAATGTCCAGTCTCAGGGCATGCCTCCTTTTAGGGATCTCAAATGAGGGGTTGCTTTACTCCATGGTCTGGCATGTTTGATGAGCTCCTGATCCTGGATTTCCAATATGTGTTTGATAAGCTTGTGCATCCGCGTGCTTCAGATTAATTCAGTAAGTTCACATGTGCTCATTCTTATTAGCATGATTAACTTATTTATCACTTTGTGCTTTATGGTTGTGCCTGGTAGGTGGTGGTGGTTTACTTGTACAAACAAGGCATGGAGTCATTCCACCTCAGCACTTAAACTCAAAATCGGAGCTTCACAGGGGTGGGAGAAAGTGGCTCTGTGCGCCCTCTGCCTGAGCAGCGCAGGATGCTAAATACTCCCTGCTCAGCAGTGCTTCTGCACCCTCTCTCGTGGCAGTTCCGGTGAAGCTCTGAAATTTGTTCGGATTATTCCAGGCCAAGATTTTGGAACTCAAACAGAAATAGAGCCTACCATCCCACACCGTAATCCGAACGGATGAAGACAGCAAGAAGCAAAGTACACGGTTGACAGGCCTTGGAATCTGGCAGAGGTGCCTCTGCATGTAATGCTGTGTTGGTTTTCTGAGTGCAGTGGCTTGAAAGCTGGGCTTCCTGTGATGCCTTCTGGGGAGAAAGGATGCTACTTGAACTTTCAGGGGCATCTGGGAAGAAATGTACCTTGGGAGCCAGGCCAGCACTCCATGAGGAACAGGTACAGATTTTCACCTTTCAACACAAGTTATAGAGCTTCATTTTGAATAAAAAACAGAGGTATCAAGAATTTTCTTAAGTTTTCTGCTGAGATGAAACCACTGCCATCCTTCAGTAGTGTAGTTGGCAGCTTCCTGGTTTAGAGGGAGAATTTGAGAATTATTCAGGACTTGAAGGTGGGTCTTTTCAGCTCAGCAGTCACAGATCAGAATTGAGCTCCCTGTGACTTCTGTGCAGTGAAGTCTTCCCTAGACAGGGAAGTGTTCCACCTTCCCACCACCTGTGCACAAGGTCACACTCCTGCACCCCAATAGCCTTCTGATTGGGGTATGACTGCATTCTGACATAATTGTGTCTGTGGGGCATCTCCCTTGAGTATTGAGAAGGAAACATGGCTGAGGAAGGCCCAGGGAGAATAGACAAGGGTGGATTTTCCATCAAATTGTAATTCGTTGTGTTTGAGAAGAGAGTTGTGGCTCCCATCCTATTGTATCCTCACTCCATTAAAGGGCCAGCTGGGCCCAATGGACACAGGTGACCATGTGGAGCATCCTCTTTTGTGCCTTCCTGATGCACCTTTCCTTCTGAGATTAAAAGGGACACCTTGGCTGTTCCAAACTGTAGATAGCTAGAGGAGAAGCTGGAGGAGGTATGAGAGGTGGTTTGTCCAGCCCTGGGCTTTCTGGACTCTGGGACTTTGGGGATTGAGATTCTAACACATGAAATGTGGAATGCAAACATTGAAACTATAGCAAAATCTTTTTCAGATCAAGGCATGGAATAGCGGGCTCCATTTTAGCTTAAATGTGCAAATTTTATGTGTTGGAAATAAACAGAACACTAAATTTCAGGGGTTTTACATCAGGGCTAGGCAGTGGCATAGCTCTCTCTGCAGCACCCTTTTTCCCTAGAAGGCATCTAAGCTCAGGGCTGGGAATATAGCTCAGTTGGTAGAGTGCTCGCCTCGCATGCACAGGCCTTGTTCAATCCCCAGTACCAACAGATAAATAAAGTACAAAATAGGACTGGGGATGTGGCTCAGTGGTCCAGTATCCCTGAGTTCAATCTCCAGTACCCCAAAAAAGAAAAGTAAAAAAAAAAAAATTCAAGCTCAAAATACAGTTGAATTGCAACTTGTGGAAAGAGATGAGATTAAAATTTGGGATGGGGGTATAAAGCTGCAGCATAAAGTGCTCCAAGATACTCAGAGGCAGGACCTCTAATGACAGCCACCTCCAGGCTTTCCCTGGCCATTGTGGCCCTGTGGGGATCCTGGAGTTGCCTCCATGTCTGTCTGTCCTTTTCCAGGTGTTCTCTAGGCAAAGATACAGACTTGGGTTGTTGTGCCTGCATTTTCCTGAGATGAATGAATGCATGTACAACTTAAAAAAAAATCTCTTTCCATAGGCAACAACTGCATCCTGAGCCTGTTTATCAACTGCATCTACAGGTGTTTCCATACAGAACCCAATTCTGTGCCCCAGTGTGGGGCACAAGAGTAAGGGCAGCCCAGGCGGACCAGGTCAGAGGCCTGGGGAAGCTCAGAGACCCCAGGCCTCCATCACACGAATGTACTGCATTTCTGTCATTAAGGCACATTCTGATTCCTTAATTTATTTGGCCATTCTGCATAGAACTTCTTGTGTAATTGCATGCTGTATTTAGACATGTTTTCAAGATATATTTTCTAAGCAATTTAAAATTCTTAGGTTCATATTGAATCATGTGGTGTGCTCATGTATAACTCTGGGAAAAAATTGAACTTTTAAAAGTGATGAACTATGTATTCCACTAGTAATAAATGAGAGTTCTGGTTCTACATCTTCCAATGGATACTGCATCAAAGAAGGTTGTAGCCACTTAATACACATGTAGTGCCAACACGGCAGTGTAGGTCATTTCCCCTCATGTCAGGGGATGCTGAGAAGCATTTCTATGCTTCTTTGCCATTTTCATATCTTCTTTGGTGAGTTGTCAGTTCAGATCTTCACCTGTTTTTAATTGGATGGTTGGTTTCTTACCATGTTTAGGATACAAGTCCACTTTAGATATGTATTTTCCAAATATTTTAACCCATCTGTGGCTTATTTTTTGTTCCCTTAATAAAATTTTTTCAGAGTAGATATTTTTATTTAAATTTTTTTGGTATTGAGCATAGAACCCAGGGGTGTTCTACCACTGAGCTATACTCCCAGCTCTGCTTAATTTTTTTTTTTTTTTACTTAGAGATAAGGGCCTTGCTAAGTTGCCTCAGGCTACCTAATAGCTGGGACTAGAGGCATGCAGTACCATGCCCAATGACAATTCCAATTTTAATTAAGCCCACATTATCAATTCTTTCTTTCATGGATTTGTTTTGGAGCTGCATTTAAAAAACTCAATATGAAACATGGTCATAAGTATTTTCTACTACAATTTTTATAGTTTCACATTTTCAATGTAAGCCATGGACTACTTAGAGTGAATTTTGTGAATCTGATAAAGGTTTTCCCTGTCCATTACTCCTATAAATTTTCTAAGCACTCCATCACCATCTGTGTAGCAGATGCTCTTTTCTTCATTGAAGGTCTTTTTCCTTTGACAAAATTAGCACTCTGTTGGTATGGGTGAGCTTTGGCCTCTCCATTCATCTCCATTTATCTACCTGTGCATTTCTTCACAACATCACATTTCCTCACTACTTCAGCTTTCTGACAGGTGTTGAAATATAGATGTGTGAGTTCTTTGTCCTTCTGTAGTCTGTGTTATCTATTCTTGGTTCAGAAACAGTTTGCTGGAAATTTGAGTGTGATTGAGCTGAATCTGCAGATGAGGTGTGAGAGAATTTCATCTTGACTATGTAGAGACCTTAACAAGAAATATCTCTATTTATTTATATTTTGTTTGATTTCTTTCAATTTGCCAAGGTTTTCTGAAAGCACAGTTGTAAGTAAAAACTTATATTTTAAATTTTCAACTCTGGGGGTGCTATTTTAAATGGAATTGTTTAAGTTTTTTTTCTTATTCTAGTTTTTAAATTCCAATTTTTCCTATACAGTTTTGATGACTTATAAGAAATCAATTGACTTTTGCTTATTGACTGTGTATTTTGCCTTTTGTTGTTTATCCTGTACGAGCAAACATGGAATGGTGGATTCTATTGCCGTTTGATTTCCAAAGTTATGGCCTGGTAAAATCAGAACCATGAATTTCAGAGCTTCACCAGGACTGCCACAAGGGGGCGCAGGGCCATTGCTGAATAGTGAGCACTGAGCATCCTCAACTGTCCACAGTGGCCAGCAGGGGGTGCTCAGAGTGACTTTTTCTGAACCCCTTGTATCATCCGTCTGCCAGGGATGGGTGTCCTGTGCCCACAGCAAACTTTCTTCTCAGGACTCATCTGGGGAAATTCCATGGCTGGGGATACCTGGGGTCTATGTCCACAGTGAGGTAAACCTAACCTTCAAGACTTACCATAACCCTCACCCTTGTGGTCCACCAGGGGAGACCATGGCTGTAGACATGTGGGGCTATGGCTGTGGTGATAAAGGTTCCTTTTCCTTGGGACCTATACAGGGAAATGCTGTGGCTGAGGACACCTGGTGGCCATGTTCACAGTGAGGTCACTCAAACTTAAACTTGGGACCTCACCCAGGAAAAGGCCACAGGTGCAGGCTAAAGGCACCTTGGAGCAATGACTGTTGTGGCAGAGCCTCCTTGTTACCCTCACAGGGAGATGCCTTGGCTGGGTCACCTAGGGACCATGTGTACCAGGAGATTTCTTCCCCCTTGGCCTCTACACATGGATGCCACTGTGGTTTTGGACTGAAGTCTACTGAGGAAAAGGTGGGGAAGACTGAGGAAAAGCCTCTTGCCCACTCTCCCATGGGCTGAGGAAGAAGCTCTGCTGTGTTTTACTCTTGTAGGTAATATTTTAGTGGGACTAAATTTTATGAAAGTATCCCTTGTGAGGCTTTGGCTACTCATTGTCATAGTATTCTAAAGTACATTTTATGGGAGAAATCCCAGGATACTGAAAGGAGAAACTGAGACATGAACTCAGGGTAGTGCAGGGAAGGCCTGGGGTTCCCAGCATGTGGCATCTCACTAGTGTCTGAGAGGAAGGGCTAATATTGCCTCATTGTTTATATTTATCTTTACGTAACTTTTTTTAGTGTTACAGTACTTGAAAAATATTGAGAAGTCGGTGAGTCAGTGTAATAATAATATTATGGGTGTACTGAAGAGATATTCCTACCATGTGACTATGAGTTTTGTAGACAATACCAGGGCTTTCTAGATAAGTCTGCACACAGTTGAGTGGCCTGCCTGAAATTCCCAGAAGCCACTGTGGTGATAACTGTGCCAGACTACACTGCCCAGAATCCCTGGGGTGCCTGGGCAAACATTGCTACAGCTCCCACAGTCCTTTGTGGAGAGGGCTGGACAGGAAATCACTGAGCTGCACTACCAAGATTCCTTGGAATACCAGGGCAAGCACATGGCCCAAAGCTTCCAAAGGTCTCCATGGTGGGGGCTGAATACCAGACTGCAGTGGCACAATCCTCAGGGTTCTCTGGGTATCTCTTGGTACCTGACAGGCAGCTCCCAGCCTTTGGGGTGAAAGATGCATTGGCAGAACAATTGACTACACTACATGAACATTAGGTGCCTGCAGCTCCAAGAGGTCTCTGCAATGAGGACTGGATTTCACTGCCTAGAGTTCCTGAGCTTGCCCATGTGAATGTGCAGCCTGGAGCTCACATTGCCCTCCACAATGAGGGCTGTACGGGTAGAATGCTGCACTGGAGATGCCTGAGGGAAATATGCACCTCTGATAGTCCTCTGTGGTGAGAACTGCATGGGTAGGTCATTGGACCATAGCACTGAGTCTTCAGGGTGCCTGAGCAAGCATACAGCCTGCAGCTTACAAAGACACCTGACAGAGGTATATGTGGGAAAACACTGGACTACATTACTCACAATTCTCAGGGGGGCAGCAGAAGCTTACAGGAGTGCTCCCCACTGTGAGCTAGAAAAACATGGGACTACACTACCCACAATCCTAAGGGGAAAGAAGCTCTCAGGATCCCCCACAGAGAACCAGCCAAACATTGGACTTCATTACCCACAATGTTTGGGTGGGGGTGGGGAATGGGAGGTTCATAGGAATTCCTTCACCATGAGCTGTAACGTGGGACTACATTACCCACAATCCTGAGGGACAGAAATCACAGGATTCTCCTGCCTCCAGTGAGCTGGCAAAACATGCGACTAAATTGTTCACAATCCCGAGGTGGCAAGTCTCCCAGATTCCCCTACAGGAGCCAGCAAAATGCTGCACTACAGTGCCTTCAGCCCTCTGGTGCAGAAGTTCTCAAGAGCCCCCTTTCTCCACCCATCCACACCCTATGAGCAGGCAAAATGCTGAACTACATTTTCTATAATCCAAGGAGGGGGAGGTAGAAGTGCACAGAATCAACCCCTCTGAGCCAGAAAATACAGGGGCTTCATTACAATCCTAATGGGGCAGAAGTTCCCTGGGTTCTGCAGAAGACCAACAAAATACTGGATTACATTACCCACCATCTATGGGGGGGGGGGGTTACCTCATGGGAGAACTGCCCCCAATAAACTGACAAAATGCTGGACTACATTACCCACAGCCCTCAGGGTCAGAAACTTTTAGGAGAATTATTTCCACCTCTTTCCGTGAGTGGGAAAAAGTCTGGACAAATGACCTACAATCCTAAGGAAGATGAAGCCCCAGGATCCCTCATGAAGAGCCAGCAAAATGCTGAGCTACATTACAACAAGAATAGAGTTAGGGTTTGGGTTTTTCTGGCTCTCCTTGGAGGATCCTGGGTGCTTCCTCACCCTAAGAATTATGGGTGATGTAGTCCTTGATCTCACCCACACACCTCTGCCAGGAGACCCCTGAAAGCTGAATGCACATGCTTGCCCTTATACCCTGAGGATTCTGAGTAGTTTTAGGGGTAGTGGTAGGGCTAGGCAAAAATTAGCCACAGGGCAAAGGTTAGTGAGATTTACAAAACCAAGAGGTACTCTTGAATTTCTGCCACTAAAGACCATGGGTAGTATAGTCTTAGGTTTAACCACTGATACTGGAGATCCTGGGAACTTCCTCCCCTTAGGATTATGGATAATGTAGTCCCAGTATCTCCTGCTCTTTGCTTGGTACTGTGGGAGGCCCTCCCTAAATATTGTGGGTGAAGTATTAAGAGGTGAAGTATTAAGTGGGCTCAGATTGAGGAATTCTGGGTAATTCCTCCCCCCAACTCACATGGAATTGTGGGTAACATAATTCCACATTTTATTCAACTATGGAGAATTGTGGGAGATTCCGCTCCTGTTAGAATTTTGGGTAATGTAGTCTCATGATTTATTGGCTCTGTGTAGAGGATCTTGGGAACTTCCTTCCTCCTAGGATTATGGGTAAGGTAGTCCAAATTGCCTGCCTACTGCTGGGTATTCTGGGAGCCTCCTTCCTGAGGATTTTGGGTAATGTAGTCCCATGATTTGGCCTCTCTATGTAAAGAATTCTGGGAACTTCCTGTGCCATAGAATTGTGGGTCATGTAGTCCCATGTATTACACAGTGGGGGACTTGTGGAAGCTTCCTTTCCTGTGGACTTATGGGTATTGTGGTCCCATGATTTAGCCTCTCTGAGCAAAGAATTCTGGGAACTTCCTCTCCTTAGAATCATGAATAATGTAGTCTC